ACAGACAGGTTGAAACCTTTGTTAAAACTTTAACACTATAACAAATGTACAATGTTTAGAGAGTGTTTTGTCATCATCAGGTACAAGATGTTTACCTTGAAACAAAAAATATATATATACTGTAGAAACAAAGTTACATGACTAGTGATTGCTTAAGGCTTAATAAAGGCATCTTGTTGATGTTTGGTTTATTGTTTAAAATATGTGTTTTTACTTTGTTAAAATAAGGTTTTTTTTATGTATGTTTACCAAATAAAATTGTCATCAAATTAGATGAGTTCAGTGAGTATAGTAGGCTATTGCAAAATATCCTGATGACTGAAATGTTTATTGAATATCGTTTTTTATCCTATTCAAACAATGTATGTAAATCAATTGGCTGACTATTTACTTACTTATTTGTAATTGCAATTGTGACATTTTTTATGTAAAAGCATTGTTACCCTTATCTGTATGAGTAAAACATGTTTTCATTATTTTATTGTCAATTTATTTGACTCATAGAAGATCATCATGAAATTACTGTATATTTGAAAATCAAATATGATGGTGACTACATAGTTGTATTTAGTTGGAATAATCAATTCATTCACCAAATTGTGGTAAATACTTATTTTAGACTGAAGAAATGTTTTTCCCAAATTTACAAATGGCAACCTTCAGAAGAGGTATATCATATGAAATCAAAGGTAATTTGAAATGTACTTAAAAAACAAAACAATGTAAAAAAAATGGGAAAATTAATACCATGTTAGAATAATTCACTGGTTCAAAAAGTTAAGACAGTAGCACATACCTTTTTTTTTTTTTCTTGCTTGTATGAACCATTGGGAGCATGGTGTTATAAGAACTATTAAAATGATGATAATATAAAAAAATTCAGAATCAGGTCCCAGGAGAGAATTTCTGGGCCCTTCATCCTCTTTTGTCCCCCCCTCAATTGTGTATATTATTTTTTTCCTCTTGCAAGACCCACCAAAATGCAGCATCAGCATATAAAATACTACTTTTTTTGAAAGAGAGAAAGAGGACTTTTCAGTATTGTGTATCTGGAAAATATTTGCTTGAGCCCGGATCCTGGTTATTTGCACTGGGTGCACCCCCATCTCCTGGACCCTGTTCAGAATTATTTTCTCATGTTTCTATGTTGCAGTTTTTATACCTATTATTTTTTTATTTTTTGTGCTGATGAAATGAACAACTTAAAGCTCACTATATAAGGTAGTGTTTAAGTTGAATGTAAGGACAGACAGGCTTTTGTTTTACCTTTTCAGTGCTTCCTATCTAGCTAGAAATAGTTGTAATTAAACAGGATTCTGTTAATGTGAATAGCTTGATCACTTAATGTTATTTATTGTTAGACTATTGTTAGTCCAAGAATATTAACTTATATTATTTTTCATTAAAACAATGTTGCCCTAAGTAGAATTGGTTACATTTGTAGCCTGTAATAAGTAAACAAATATATTAAGTTAAGGTACGTTATTGATTATTCCAAACAAGGTATACATGAACAACAGGTATCTATAGTTATGTATCAAACAGTCGCTAGGCCTTACTCTCACATTCATGAGTTGTGTATAAGCAGAACACATGCATACCATTGCAAGCAGTTGCACAAGCAGAAGTAACACTGGCTTTCGTGTCGTTTGTAAGTTCAGTTGGTGTATATCTGAAGCTGAACAAGTTTGTTAGAATTCTGGTAAAGCTGTTAAGGCTACGTGCTACCATCCCTAATTCTGAACTGTTAACCAGAGAGAAGATAATCCATCAGCAGCACCCATTGCCAATTCTTGCTCTATTTTTACTACCAAATAGGATTGACTGTCACATTATAATGCTACCTGGCTGATATGGCTTAGTGGTTATGGTGGTTTTCCCCTTGATTTGAGGGTTGTGCATTTATTTGATACCTGTTGCCATTAAACATGTCCACCTATTCAGCTGCTGGAGCATTCTAGTGTTGCAGTCAATCCCACTGTTTGTTGGTAAAAAAAGTAGCCCAAGAGCTGGTGGTGAGTGCTGCTGGCCATTTGCCTTCTCTCTGGTTGGTAGTTCAAAATTATGGACAGTGGCAGATAATCTCAGTAGATTTGCCACAACTGAAAAATAAAGAAACAATTATAATACCCCTCAATTCCCCCTACTGCCATATCTTAAATAGGAAGCATGGAAGAATTGAACCCATTTCTTTCAACTCACTAGACTATTCTGGCCCAAAGCTTAACAAATATGACTTCACTGAAAAACGAAATAACGAAAAATCAAGAAATAGTAATAATCAGAAACATTAATTTGGATTAGTAAACTATTTTATTGAGTTGTGACACTGATTCATTAGTCTTAAAAAACTTGGATAGTTGTTATAATCAGAAACATTAATTTCAATTAGTTGGTTATTTTCATGACATTAATCAATTAATCATCATTTTGATTCACAGGTTATTTTACTTGACACTAATTGATTGTATTGAGTTAGTTTCTCAACTCTAGTTGGGGAACAACTTGTGATAGGTCCTTTTCTGAATGATTTGAATCTCTAAATCTCCAATCTATGATCTGAGTGTATAAGCACTTTGTATCAAAAAGAGCAGTTACATACCTTTTATAAAAGCAATTAATTTTTGCTGGCATTCCACTACCTTCAAAATGTAATTCCAGTACATGATGTCCTACTATGACATTATATCAGTTATTATTTTTATCAATAAAACCCCGTATATGTGGTTGTTAGTAATAGAAAATAAGATAGTGTAGATGGGCTAAATAGGCTTTTTTACTAATTTGTATAAATAAACACCTATTTTAAAATTGTATTACAGGCAAAGGTGGTTCAGATTTAAGTGTACACAATGCAGATTGAAAATTTATAGTCATAAATGAAATACTTAGAAACATTTTGCTGCTTGTTCAGGACTGTGATATAGCACAACTTAATGTATTGACTGTAAGCTTATTTGATCATTTTAGTGCTAACTTGTTCCAATGTTTATCAGAATTGGTGCTAGAAAATAAAAACCTTTTAGAGGTTAACTGACTTTTCTGTGTTACAATCAGAATATAAATAAAATTTTAGTTAGATAAGGAAGTCTCTGAAAGCCTAAACTGTTTATTTTAAAGTATGTTGTAAACTTGAAAGCAAGTGTATTAAAAAGAAAAGTATTAGTTAAAAAAACTGTTTTACAGTATACATCCTTATCTTATGTGGAACTAACCATATTGATGCTTGGTTAGATAAGACAGATTTGTGAGAGCTTACAGATTTTTGGTGTATAGCATTTCTTATTATTACAAATTGAAAGTACAATGTATATATGAAATGTAATATGAAAAGGTTTTTCATAAGCTTGTCACTAAGGGTCTTCATACTTATAGCTTAAGCTTTCCTATAATATATTCATCAACATCTGTGGAAGCTAAAACAGCAAAATGTAAAGTTAATTTAAAAAGCTTTATTTTCTTTAAGATATTAAGTCATACACTGTACATCACATAAATTTTTCCAAAGGCAACATGTTAGCACAGTGCTTGAGAGCTACTGAATAAATGCTATCTTTGGTATACAAACAATATGCTCACCCATTTGCACGCAAGAAGGACTATGTCCTGGCAAATATGCTAAATTGCCAGAAAAGTAAAAAAAAACAGTAGTGTATGCTTTAATCACATGTATTATGTTTTGGTGGTTTAGATTTGTTTTAATAATGTTGTTTATTTTATTGTGTAGTAGAAGTTCTACTTATTTAATTTTTAAAAAACCAACAGAAGTTTGAATATTCTTTTCCATTTCTGTTTTAGAAGTTTAATCATCAGTTTAAAAATCTTCAAACTCCTATGTAGAATATAGTAAAATCCTGGTTAGCGCCATCATGCTTTAAGCTGATTTGATATGGAGCTCTTGTCTCCTTCAAAGCTTGTTTTTTCATGAGAGAGAAAAAAATAATGAAAATCCATAACTCTCTGAACACTTATTTTTTATACTAATGGTAGTAGTGCACTAAATAATTTTTATTTAATAAAATAATGCAACAAAGAACATAGAATAATAACACGCATTTTTGAAAGAAAGTATCAAACATATCATGCATATAATGGACCAATACAGAAAGAATAACCTGGAGTGGGACGCAGCATCAATGCAAAGAGAATTGTGCTCAGTGGCATTGGCTGTTACAAAGAAATGCTTCATGAGAGATGACACTAGGCAACACAGTTAATCCTGCAAGCCTTCTTTAAGAAGAAGCTGTCACTGTGTAAGGCCCTTCCCATATGTAACCTGTCTTACATTGTCTCTCACTGCTACTGTAATGTGTTGCTTCCTGTACAGTTTATAGGTGAGTTTTCCAGGCTAAATTTAAGCTTGTTATCTTTATTTCATCATTTTTCATTTACTTGATACATGACAATAAATCATGCATGCTCAGTGGAGTGGAATGGAGCAGTTGCTTAATCACTGTGGTGTCACATGTGCATACACACCACTTGCTTTCGTTTGATTGTTGTCCTTGTTTAAACAATTTTACAGCAACAATTAATCCTTTTCATATTGCATGCCATAAATACATACTGTTGAACTGACTGAAGCATTTCTGGCACAGCAGTGACATGAATGGTTTAGGCCTACGCACCTACTTACTCTTCTGCTTCCTTACTTTGTGTTTAGTCAGTGTTAGAACGTTTTTATAGTAACAAGATGTTTTGTGGTTCATAGAAATAACGTAGTTAAAAAGAAAAATCTCCATCGGGAAAAATAAAACTTACTTGAATTTAAGGTAAATTTTGAGGCTGTAGTTGTCAGCTGTTCACTTAAGCCTGGCAGTGCTGCAGAAAGTTTTACCGTAGCAACAAGCTCTTACCTTCCCAATCTCATATTACCATCTCAATCATCATTATAGGTTCCTCTTCTTTTTTTTTCTTTTTTTTTTACAGTGATGAGAAGAGCCAAATGATGTCCACTGCCTCTCACTACATGCTGCCTTCCACTGTCAGCACCAGTTTGCAAATTGATGCCAATTTGATGTGTTTCTTTGTTCTTTAAGACTGTTTGTGTTCAGTTACTTAAATAATACTGTATTGTAACAATCTATGTTTACCAGTACCAAAATAAAGCACTTATACATTATACACAGGTAAAAAACAATGCCTTCAGTTACATATTTCCATATATGTAATGTTAAAATGACCCTCTTTTGAGCTGATTTGTTTGGAGCTCCGTTCTCAAGAATCCTTCCTGAGTGCTAAACAGGGTATTACTGTACTATTAAAACATTAAAATGCCATGCAACTCAGTCTACTAAATAATTGCAAAATGTTATTTAGTGTAGTAAGAAATTGTCCTTTTTTTGTAGGCAACTGGTTCATTTTTAAAACTTGCTTTTTTGTGAAAGAAGACTGAAAACGTTTTCTTCCAATACGGTACTTACCTCCTCTCAAAAGATTAGCTTTTTCTTTATGCATGTCACAAGCCTTCCACTTCTCCCTATTGGAATTGCTATATTCCAACATGTCTCATGCAAATCATCATGCATCACCTCCTAACCAATAGGAGCATGATATGCTCGTGTGATGTATGTGACTCCCTTTACACTCTTCTACCGAACTATCACTTCTCGTTTGGCAGTGTTTGAGTTTGGACATGCTCATTTGTGTGCATACTTCATGTTTACCTCACAAAGGGGTTAGTTTTTGACTTAATTTTACTTTCATTAAATCAATTCCTATATTTGTATTTCAGTTAATTCTAGTTGCTTTATTTCTGCACTCGAATTTGGTGAACCTCTTCTGTGCAATGAATTCTGAAGTTAATGTTACCACTTCAGGGGTTACACCAGCGACCAGTGTTTTTCTCAGGCCTCAGATGCGGATGACCCAATAGTGGATTTATGTGCTTTTATATGTCAAGAGATCGAAAATTACATGGGCCAACCTTTGTTCTCAGACATTGACCAGGCTCCTCCTGAGCCGGCTACAGGCTGATGAGGACTTTGATCGTCTTTTTCCTCCTCCAGAGTTTGCCGTTCCTTCCCATTCCCAACTTGAGGAATCTCCTAGGCCTAATTTGGTTATTGATTTTGTGACTCAGGTTTGTGATGTTTTATCCCTTTCACTTATTTCTTGTTCACCTCATCCTTCCTTGTTGCATGAACAATCTTTCCAACCCTTTTTGGTTTTTCCTCCCTCCCTTGGAAATTCATGCTGATCAATTTGCCTCACAATTGAGTGAGGGGATTAGCATACCACACACCCCAAGGACTTGTAATCAGTTCGTCCTTTCTTACCATCGGGTGGACTATCCATTTTTAGATCAGCAGCTATTAGGTTCCTTGTTACCTATTTGGGGGATGGCTCCTGAATCAAATATCAGTCTTACCCATGCTCAATATTCTCACCTGCATATCACCCTTACCAATGTATTATGGTACCTTTCTTCCATATACCTTTCTACACAGAAATCCGGTTAGGTTTTCTATAGATACCCTTGCCTTTCTCTCCTCCACTTTAACCCGCATATTGTCTTTGGCATTACATATGTGGTTTCTTTGTTGTTGGCACCTCGTATGTAATGATGCCATATTGGATTGAGTCCGTTTACCCTCGACATAACTTGGAGATTTATGTATGGCCCCATTTCTGAGACATTATGTCTTTGATACAGTCCTGGAAACTATAGAGCCTCGGGTGACATTGGTCTGCCAATAATCCACCCTTAAAAATATTGTAACCTATTTGTCTCAGTCAGAGCCTCATATGCCTCCAATTCCTGTTTCCCATTCTTCCCCTTTCCAGTCCTTACCTGTTCCTACTTGGGGTACTTCTCATCATCTTCCTCGACAATGCACCCCCTGTTGCCACCAGTACTGGTGATTACCCAGTGGGTTTGGGTCTGGTGGGAGCTCAGTTGCTCGAGTTTCTTCATTGCTGGCATCCCTTCAGCGATGATCAATGGTTGCTTTAAGTTCTGTCAGAAGGGTTCATTGTCCAGTTTCTTTCCCCATCTCTGGTTTCTCCTTTTCCTTCCCACCTTCTCAAGATCCCGTGTCCAGCCAGTGTCGTAAGAAACAGTTGGAGGATTGCTCTTGCAACAGGCAATCGAACCTGTCCCCCATCTTTCTAGAGGTTCTTGGTCCCGCCTTTTCGTTGCCCCCAAGAAAACCGGGGATTGGCGGTTGGTAATCGATTTATCTCACCTCAACCGGTTCATATCACTACCCAAACTCTCTTCTCTCACCCTGAAATGGGTGTTTTCATCAGGGTTGTGGATAGAAAAAATGAATGTCTCCAATGCTTACCTACATATACTGATATCACCTCAATCTCATCCTTATGTTTGGTTTGTCCATGTCAAGGGGGTTTACCAATTTTGGGGCCTCCCCCTTTGACTTGCCTCAGCACCTTCCGTGTTTTGTTGAATAGTCCATGCTTTTGCACGTCATCTCCATGCTCTGGGGCTGCAATTTCATTATTACATGGATGACTGGCTTCTTCTGGCTCATTCCAAACAGGAATTGGCTAATCATATTCGGCAGCTACTTTATGTGGTGACTCAGGTGGGCTAGTTGATCAAATTGGAGAAATCATTCCTAAAACCCACTCAATATCTTGTACATTTGGGGGTCTTTTTTGACATGAACATCAGTTGAGCACTGCCTTCTCCTTTACGAATTTGTTCAATGGAACTTTTGGTTCACCACACCCTCTCTTCTCAGCCACGTACTGCTTGTGAGATTCTATAGCCTTTGGTGATTTGGTCTTCCATGACAGCACTGATCCCTCTCAGTCATGCCCATATGAGATCCCTTCAGTGGGCACTTCAAAAACAATGGAACCTTGCTCAGGATGCAGAAGGGGATTGCTGCCTATCCTTGCCATGCCTAGAGTGAATAACTTGGTGTGGTCTGCTTTTCAAGATAAGGTTTTGTGGTCACCCATTGCACTGTCTCCAGTGATGACATTCCTCCAGACTCTCCACTGCACTGTCACCCTTTTTTCTTTGAGTGGATTGTGGGAGTCATTGCCACTGTCCAGTTCCAAGCTGCTGGAGGGGTTGACCATGGAGGCACCCTGCTGAATAAGTTCCACACAATAAACAATCAGTTACAGAGTAGGGCAGTGGTGTTCTGTGTGTGTAGATGACGTAATATCCTCCTATTTGTGCTAACCAATACAACATAGTGAAACATCAGAGTACAGTTCACCCCTTCAATTGCATGGATGTCGGTACCCTGGGAATAAGTTTTGGATTAGAGTGAACCAATCAATATAAGTCCTCACATGGATTTGGGTTGTCTATCTTTGTCCTTCAATTTACTCTGTCTATGTTGTGGGTCACAGTGGTGGTACGTGGAGTTGTTACAGTTCTGTCCTTGACTATCCCTCCTCCTTTTCTTATGGGGATATTATTACCATTGGATGGTCCTAGCCTGTACCCTGGTTAGGTGAGTTGATTCTGGGCAATTGACATCCATTTGATACCGAATGTCAATTTCCCAGGTTGATAGCTCAGAGCTAATCCTTGTGTCACACCTGGGAATCAGTGTGGGTCTTAATCCCCGGTTATTGGGTCTGAGGTGAAGACAGTATGATCCTCTTCCTACCCTCGTGCAGATGCTAGGAGGTTTTTGATGTAGTTGACTTATCGAGTATGGTCCACCGCACTATAGCCACTCTACACCCAGGGGTGTACCCTCGTTTACCCACTTTTCTCTTGAGGGATTGAGTTCAATATCTTTCTCTGATTAGGATCATCACTTTCCTACCACATTCTCTCCCACTTGGATGTGCTCCTCTCATTTTCTGCCCTTATATCTTACACTTTTTACACATGGGTAAGGAGTGTACCTGGCTCAGAAGTGGTGTGGTTTTCCTCTTCTGATCTGTATCTCTCATTTTCAGGGGTATTCTTCGGATGCTTTTGGTGGGTGAATCTCTCATTCCCTTGCACCAGTCCCTCATTTTTCTCAGTGTGGAATTTTAACTAATCATGTAAGAGGAGGTAAGTTCCAAATCGGAAGTTATAAGTTTCCTATATTGAAAACATATTTTTCCAATATATACTTCCCACCCTTCTTCCCCACTTTTCTCCAGTGCTGATATCTTCTGCCAAATTTTGAAGTGATAGTTGAGTAGAGGAGTGTAGAAGGAGTTACACGAGTATATCATGCTCTTATTGGTTAGGAGATGATGCATGAGAGACATGTTGGAATATAGCAATTCCAATAGTGATGGTGAGCAGAAGGTTGTGGCATGTGTAAAGAAAAATGTTGCATACAGAGGGCAGCACTGAATGAGCATAACTAATCTAGTTAGCAGAGGTAAGTACCTACCACAAGTACATTTTCAGTGTAGGAAAATTATAACTCCCATCAGTTCCTTGAATGTCATGTATGTAACTAAACTTTTTATAATTCAACTTCCAGGTGTGGCATCAGGATACATACAAATACTGGTCTTTGGCTGTCATGTTTCAACTTCATCTAAGTTGTGTGAGTTGATAACCTTTGGGCACACTGAGAAGAATTTTGTTAAATCCAGATTCTGCTAACAGAGGTCTTAACTGGTATAGGTTTTGAACTGTTGTAATAGGCAAAATACACCTGTACAGAATTTGCTAATGATGAAAGATTTAGTTCTGAATTCTGCAAAGAGTTACCTGCTGAGATAGAATAATTAAATCCAACTGGTGTTGACAGTAATGCATAAGAAAATAGTGTGTTCTGTCTTTCTAACTTTTGTTGTCAAATTTGCATTACTATTAGCACCAGACAAGTCTGATATAGCTCTGAACACAACAGTGGAGCCTTTTGCTGAAACACAACCAAATCAGACTGTATCCCTTAAAGAGGAGAAGACTTTGAATAATAAAAGTATTATTCAAGAGGGAAAGACAAAGGAAGCATTATTAGGGGAGAATGAGACAGGGATTGAGACTAATACAAGAGGTTCTCAGGTATATTTTGTAAATGAAGAAGATGCAAACAACAGTGCTGCTACAACAGAAATGCCTTTCCTTGAAACTGAAATTTCTTATTTATTAGATACACTCAGTACAGTAAAAGAAGAAAATGTGACATCAGTAGATGCTACATACACAAGTATTGCACCTAAAAACAATGCACCTACAAGAGAAGAGAGCTCAGAAATATTCCTTGATGATCTGTGTGTGTGTGACCTATATGTGGGTGTATGTGATGTTAATTGTTGTTGTGACATTGATTGTTCTGCAGATGACAGGAAAGTGTTTACTGAGTGTTCAAAGGTGTGGCAAAGTTTAGATTTTCGTTACTGTCTACAGAAGGAGATTCTCTACAGGAATAATACTGAGTATAAATTAGAAAGAACATCTAGTGGAATTTTTTGTATTGTACATGATAACTTAAAGAAACGTCATCTATATAAAGATGCTAAATCAGTAGAAAACATAGAAGAGTTTAAACAGTTACTTCCACCAAATATTTACCCATGGTTTTCAAACTCTTTTGAAGAACTAGTGATCTTTTCCAGTAAAGAGTTTATGGTAGGTGATCCACTTTGGGTTGTTTCAGTTGGAGTTGAACAAGTAAATCACTGGTGTAAGTATCAGGGTATATATGTGATATTCTTTAGTTTAAGTAACTTGAGAGAAATTATGTATATATATGTTATTAACAGTTCTAGTTATTACTTAAAAAAATTATTGTAAGTAATAAATTTCTTACATATAACTGCTGGAACTCTACATTTTAGCAAATATTTTGTTAAACGTGATTTTTGTTTGATTTTGAAGAGTATCACATTTTAATAGCATTCCAAAAATTATTTAAAATGTTATTAACTGTCATTTTCTGGTAATATAGTTCTCTAATTATTAGGTACTGTACTTTACATCAGTGACTTCCTAATTCTTAGATATGATACTTGACATTAGTGATTTTCTAATTATTAGGTACCATACTTTACATCAGCTATGTTGTACATTACTGGATCACTACTACTTGGATACTGTTTGTGCATTACTGTTTTACGGCTACTTTGTACTGTGCTGTACATTACTTGTTTAACCCTTTTGCTGCATAGTTCGGATATATCCATAAACATTTATACCCACTGACTGTGAAATTCAGATTTACTCCATGGCTACCAAAAAAAGTTTCCTTCTACTGCGAAATGCGTGAATATGTAATGCCAAGCCTGCATGCATGCTGCCATCTGTGTTCTACACCGTGAAACCCTGGTGTTTATATGCCTCATTACAAAATTGCAAACTTTGCAAAAACACGTATAGGATCTATATAAAGACAGCTTCTTTATGTCTTGGATATTGTTATCTAAATAATTTGTTTTATATTTTGTAATGATTCTGGCTTCTTCTTCACTACGTTTTACCTATATTTATGCCATTTACTGGAGAACACTTTTCTTCTCACTTTCCTCAATTTTTTTTTGTTTAAATTATTATTTTTCTCTATCCGATACAGTTTTCAAGGAATATTACTGTTAGATATAGAAAATACAGCTTCTTCCAATATTGAAAAAGTAATACAAAGGGTCATATTCATACTTTAATTTTGTGGTGGATAATTAACACTTTTTGGAAATCAGCCTGAAAATTAACTGCGCAGTGAAAGGGTTAATACTACTTAGGTACTATTTTATATATTTATGGTTTACTGCATATGTCTTAAATAATACTAACTGAAGACAAATCTGTCTAGTCTAGACACATTGGTAGTGTCTGGGAAAAGCCAAAGCATGAAAATTTACCATGCCAATGTTTAACTGGTGTTCATATTTTTAGATTAGCTTAGAAATAATCAGTTATTGGCTGAAGTCCTAACTGGATTGCTGTCGACTCCAGCTGTGTTGATTTCAGAAAACATTAAAAAAATATATTTTATGGTAATTAATAGTTCAATTAAATGAAAACACTGACATCTAATGTTTCCGTTTAATTCTGTATTTCAGTGAAGAATGTCTGACTGTTATTTTATTAATATGTGAAAAACAAATTGAGTGTTTTAACACCCCCTCTAGATACAGTTATTAGTTCCTGAAAAAAGTGTGGAGGGGGTTTGGATCCCTCCCCTAGATCCATGTTTGCTTATACAACATTAAGTACAGTTATTAATTCTGGAAAAAATGGCATATAGACCCCTTTCTCCTTGATCCATGCCTGCTTTGCTATATTGCTTAATATTTATTAATTTATGAAAGAAATTATTAGGGATTCCGCCCCCCTGGACCCCTCTCCTAGGTCCATGCCTGCATATACAACATTAAAGAATACAGTTACACTATTATAAGCTAAAAATGTAATAAAATATAACACAACAGTAAGTATACACCTTGTTTAACATTTTAGGTAGCTAGAGAATTGGCGGTGGTTGGTGACAGCCAGTCGTATTCCTTCTGTATAGCCTTAATAACCTTGTCATAACAGAGACAGGGCAAGCAAGTTTAGTGGCAATGGAATTGAACCCAAGATCCTCCTCCCATTATGTAACATTGCGCTTAACAACAAACATTGGTAGTAATTCAATTATTTGGATAATAGTTGGAATAACTGAAACAATAAATACGCAGATACCTCAGTATATATATTAGTAGATTATTTTCATGATTATCAATATAATCAGAATTTTGATTGATTAGTTTGTAAGACACTAATTGATGTAATGGCTGCTTTTTAGTAATTGATTATATTAATTAAATTGTCCAACTCTAGATCTCTAAACTCATTACTCTGCTTAACGTACATGTTCATTGTTTGACTACATGACTGAGTTACAAAAACATTATCACAACTCTTCTTAACTCACAAGACTGAAGGTGTGTTTCCTTCAAATGTAAGGTTTCTGTGCATAGCTTAACTACAGTAATGGATATGACAGTATCATAATTTCTTAGAAAATCTTATATAATATACCATATGTTTCTACTTCTATCTGTTTACAGATTTAACAACTTCTACTTGAACCCTTTTCATTGGATGCTCTGTTATGGAAACTTAGAGACTTTTAGAGACTACTTTTCATGCTTTATCTAACAATGTCGGATAAAAGTGTATTAAACTTGGATTTAGCAGAGAAGATCTAGTTCCTGAGTTGGTTAATAACTGACATTCGACACCCTCTTTTTTAAATTTACTATGTGTAATATTTCATTAGCATCATGCATGATTGATCTATTAAACAATAGGTGTTTTTTATGGTTCTGGCTGCAGTTAGGTGTTGTTGTTTTTGAAATTCTGCAGTTACTTGTTTTTTATACTTGTTTAAAAAATTTTTGTAAAAGATGCAAACCTAGCCATTTTGTGAAATTGCTCTCTTTTGTTTTTTTATGGATGCCTGCAATCACAGGCAGTTTGCAGTTAAAGAATTCTGCTTGCTTTTTATCTCTTCATAAACAGTTTATAACAATGTCTTTGCATACTGCATATGAAATTGTTAACATTTTCTTGTGCTTAATTCCTCTTTGTATTTTCTACTGTGTTAAGTCTGCCATTTATTTCTCTTATATACTGAGTTAATCTATGAAAGCCTGGGCCATATACTTATTTTTCCATAAGCTCATCTGTACAAACTACTTCTTTTAGATTTAACCCCATCACATGTGGCGTATTTACTTCATCCACCTTTATTCTCATTAGCTTACTGACTAACCCTTTCTCAAAGTTAGGTTTTAATGTGTCTTGTATTATTAGCTCATTTGGATGTGCATAAGCCTGTCTTATCCTGTTACTTAACTCGTGAAATTTGTGCTCAAATACTGGGACAGATTCACCTCTTTGCTGATTATCATGTTTATTTCATTCTAATGCTTAGTCTTTTGTGTCTTCTATATTATTTTAATAGTCTGTCACTTAAAAATATCTGAGGTAAGTCTCAAATCATTGTATAGCCTAATAAATCTCTTAGTCTTACCCGATGCTCTTAACCTGAGTATGTCTTCTTTTTGTAAACCTGTCTAGTCTGAGATGCATGCTTCCTCATCTATAGCATCTAAGAAACTTTCAACATTTTCTTCCAGTTTACCATAAAATAATGGAATAACATTTGTAAATGTTTTGGGCAATTTGACCTCATGGGAACTGCAGCTGCCACTTTTGTGTTAGTCATTACAACGATTCTGGCTCATGTACTTTCTTCTTTCTTTATTTCTGCTGTAGCTGCCACAACACGTAGTTTTGAGACTAAAAAATGTAGATTTCACAAAAAAAATCAAAATGAATGAGGATGCATATTCGTTTGACATCAATGTTTTTCCCTTTTCTTCAGTTTGTTTATATTTTTGTTAACAAACATAATAATAAATAAATGTTCATTGTGGTAAAAGAAATAATAATTTGATCCAAGTAAGTTTTATTTCTTCCTGGTTTGTAAAAGATCCTTACATGATAGAAAAAAATGAATATTATTTTTGAAATTTGTGTAGGTGAATTATGGAAAATCCATTATTAAAATTAAAACAACTTTTATGAGTTTAGATTTGCAGGCCTGTGTATTTAGTGCTGGTTCCACAATTATATAATTTTGATACATATAAAGAACTTAGGAGCATATACTCAACAAATCTTCATTACAAAAAAAGAACTTGTACTCTTTTGGAAGCTGAGAATTGCATAGGTGGAACAGAGGGCATGACTAGACTGGGCAATCTCTTTTAAGTTTACTTTGGTCTCATTATCACACTCATTGCTAACCACAAGTTAATGGTCTGTCATAAATATTTGTGACAGATTAATATATAGTAGTAAGTAACCTTTCCCAGGAATTTGATATTTCTTTTTGTGTTCTCTCAACAGAATATCTAGCCTTGGATATAACATCTTGGCTATCTATGCACCAGAGCGGCACCCATGTGATAAAATGCAAATATATTTATGTTCAAAAGTGGTTGCTTAACTAATCTGTTACGTTGTTGTTTTTATAACTTATACTTCCTAACTATAATATGCTTTTTATATGAACAATACAAGAAAACCACACTGATAATCTCTTATTCTATAATACTTGCTAACTTGCAAATAATACTTGTATGGATATTACTATTGACTTTGAATTTTATTCCTTTTGTGTACTTGTTTCACTACTATGTTTTATGTTTATCTGTAAATCGAATAGTCTTTACAGTATAAAAATTATGTGAATTCTGGTATTCATGATTCATTAAAAATAAACTTAAATAGTAAGAGAACTTGTAATGAAGCAGGTTTTATAATGTTTTTGCAGATTTGCCAGGTTCTTTAATGAGTAGTTTTTGTGATGGCTCTATACCAGTGAAATACATGATCAACCATGTTTCTTCATGTGTACGACTTGTATCAAAAAAGTGTGAGCAAGACCTTGCTCTTACAGCTACAACCTATTATCAGAAGTTCTATATATTAAAGTCTCTGAAGCTTTTTTTGAAAGAAAAGGATAAAATCAATCCAAACACTACAGAATCTAAGCAAGTTTTGTGTCAAGAAACTGAGGCTTGTGTACCTGTCATACCAACTGGACATTATCATTGCTGGAATATTGGTGGTTTACCAGATGAATGCTTTTTCCCTGCTCCATACTTCAATGAGTCATCTAAGGTATGTCACAATGTTGTTACAGCTGTTATGTTTAATATCATACATAATGGTATACATGGGATAAGCAATGCAAGTGTAAGCTTTGAGATGGCTTCTGTACAAGTAGGAGACACAGAAAACCTTGTATCACAGAAGTTGGAAGTTAGTTTTCGGTGGGAAACAAACAATAATGTAACTTTTCAACGAAGTGGAAATCCAGGTTATATTGTGGGTGAGCCAGTCCTAGCTGGCCACTTGGATAGTGTTTTAGATGTGAGTGGTTTATCTCATTCTGTGATTTTGCTGGACAGTGATAGAAATAACTGGTTTACCATTTTAAGAAGTTCTGCAAATAGTAGGTGTGATTCTCTCCAAAGTCGGTTACCGATACAGTTTGGTGAAGACATGCATTCTGGGTGTGTCCTTCACTTAAATAGCATTACTCTAAGAACTAAGGGCTGTCAGTACATTCAGAAAATGGTTATGCTTGCCTTGGTAGGAGACAACCCTCCAGAGTATGTTGGCAAATTTGGTAACTCTGATAGACATGATCTTAATGATTGGTTGAGAATACAAGAAGAAGGTAAACCAACAGAAGAAATCTTGGAATTAACACCAGATGGTGTGTGTCCAAATGTTGTGCTTGGACTTAACATTAATGTATTGTTTGCAAATATGGGCTCTCTAGCTAGTCCTCAACCTATAATTATTGGTGTTTTGTTTAAGTTCTCTGAACCTAAAGAAGTGAGGGTTCATTGTTTTGGGGTTTACTGCTCTTCTGTGGCCAAAGAATGGACTCAAGTTGTGAGAGTGACCACATCAGTCATGTTTGTAGATGTTTCAGAACAATCTGTACCACATTATGTCCATCCACCTGTTTTAGAAGCTAGGCTACCTCATGATTTTTTCTATCCATTCTTATCAGCTGGGAATGATAAACAAAGACAGTTGCCCAGCATTCTACTATTTTGGTTGCTGCTTTTACTTACAAGTAGATAGGACTTATCCAAACTCATTAAGTATAAAATAACTTCAATATTTTGAACCAGCCAATTAAACTGTGAACTTGATTTTAAAGTGTACACATTTGAATCAGAGATTTTTCATGTTTAATTTACTATTTATTTTGTGGTATGTTTTTTAAATGCTGTTTTTACATGCACATTTTTTAAGTATTTCTTGTAGTTTAAAAAAAAAAAAGACTTGAATTATGCTACAAATGCAGGCTTTGGAGATGATAAATATATATGAAATGCTTTAAAATAATTTTAATTTTTTTTAATTTTTGAAGGTTGTATATTTGTTGAAATACTGAACAATTCAGTGTCTTAATGTGTGACTAGTGCTGTAGGTGTATGCTTACAAATACTAAAATAATAAATGTATTTTTTCAGTCTACTGATAAGTATTAATTTGAAAACTATATACTTTCACTTGTTTACACAACTTGTGTATTTGTGTCATTAAACTTGATTGTTTTCAAAGAGTGTTATGTTCTTTAATTTATCAAGAGCTCCTGTAAAGAAGAGACCACTCTCATAAGAAGCACAAGTATTTGGTCAGTTTTTGAACACTTATGTTTCAAAAATCAACAGTTAATTTTAGAAGCTTGCCACTGTTTGCAAGATTTATCATTTACAGTATGTTTCTAAGTGTGAATACAAGACACAATTAGTATTCCAATATGATATCTTACCTCTTCTTACAAAATAGCTTTTCTCGATATATATATTGTCCTCTATCAGCACAAATTTTCAATGCTCGCCACTAGCCATCCATCTCCTGCTTCTTCATATCTAAATATAATTGGTTATGTAGCAGCTCTCAACCAATAGGAGAGTGACACAACCCCTATCATAACCAGTGCCCTCTCCACATTTGTACTCCTTAATCACTTCTCAATTGGCAATAGTACTGTACAGACGTGCTTGTTTTTGCTCATCAATTGGTCTATGTTTTCCTTTATACTACACACTTAATTTTTCTTTACTATGTTTTTGTTATTTCTTTATTTACAGGGACCTTTTTGCTAGTATATTGTGGATCCCACTTTATGGTGAGTGGTGACTGACCAGGTATACTTTTTTTTTTTAATCTGCAATGTCCATCCTGTGACCATGCTCAATTTCAATTATATTGTAGTTCTTACTGCGGACTAGATATGCAATTCCAGATGCCACCAGGTGTTGGTTGTGAGTCTCCATTCAATTGTCATCTATGCCAAAATAGTTACGTTGCAGGATTAGGTTATGCACTTCGTAGAGGTGGGGTGTTCCATAGGACCACTAGTAGAACTTCTTAGTGATCTTTTGCTTCATAAATACAATTCCAGATGCCGCCAGGTGTTTGGTTGATCAACTCCATCAATGTGGTGGCTCTGCCTTTCAAAATAGGGTATCACTGTCACCTGTTACACAGTCTCTGGTGATTCAGTCCTCCAGACTCTCCATCACGTTTTCTCCTCCTTTCTTCTAGTGAAGTATGAGAGTCCTTGCCATTTACCAGTTCCTAGCTGCTGGGGTGGTGGACCATGGAGGCCTGTCCTCCTGAGTGATACCTCATACCACTCAGTTGAGAGTAGGGCAGTGGCATTCTGTGGGTGTCAATGGCGTATAGCACTTCCTACTACAGACCTGAAGTACAATTCCAGATACTGCCAGATTTTGGTTTTAGCACTATGCCATATTAATATATATATATCTGGCAGATTGTCTTTTCTGACTGAAGAATTCCTCCTTCCTACCATCTTTCAGATGTAAATTCTCGGTGGGTCTGGTGTTGTTTGGAGATGACCTGGTCACGATTAGAATCATGTGTCAATGGTGTGATGCTCTTCCTACTGTAGACCCAATGTACAATTCCAGATATGCCCAGTTTTCGTTCAAGCACTCTGCTACGTCACCACTATATTTGATATTATCTTTTTTGGTTCCACATCTCATGGTCTCTCTTTGGGCACTTCCTAAAGGGGGTTCATTTTTCCACCAGTTCAGTGTGGAATTCTAGCTATTTTGTGAGAGGAGGTAAGATATTGTATCGGAAGTTAACATTTTCATAAACTGAAAATGTATTCCCGATTGATACTTCCACTCACATTTCCCGCCTAGCTTTCCCTCTTTTGGAGATGTGTGTTGAAGGTCTTATGACCAATCTCAAAGTGATTAATGAGTGCAAATATGGAGAGGGTACTGGTTACGTAATTATTTACATGTAGATAAGCAGAAGTGGGACGTGGAAGGCTAGTGGCAAGCGTTGAAAATTTGCGCCGGTAGAGGGCAGTATTAATCGAGAAAAGCTATTTTGTGAGAGGATGTAAGTATCTATCGGAAATACATTTTCAGTTTAGGAAAATGTTAACTTTTCTAAATAGAAATAGAAGATGTACTGGTAAGATAGTGCCCTAAAAATACTAAATTTCCAGAGGTTTCCCCTACAATAGAAAAAGTAGATTCTAGGAACATCTGAATCTCAGATGTATGATAGAATGTTAGTATTTTATAAATATACTAAAAGATGGTGCTTGTGTACAAGTAATCCAAACTTGAAAACACCACAACTTTTAGTTTATTTAGTGTATCCTATTGCTTTTCAGTTCATAGTTGATGACACTAGATGGAGTTTGTATGGATTGTAGAACACAAGAATTATATATATTTGTAGTCAGTTTTGGTAGAACATACATTAGAATACTTAGTATAAGGAAAAATCAAATATTTTTCAGTAGATGACTCTAGTGGTCCTCTAACCAAATGTCAGAGGACAGACACGGGGAATAAAGATTCATGCTCTGGAAGATAAATATATTGTCAACCTTGGCTGATTATACGATTTTCCATTATTTTTTCTGTTGAATAACGTGTTTTTCAAATATTTGCATAGATGAATCTATTTCTGGAAAAGTTGAAGGTTCACTGGTGATCAACAAATTAGCTAATAAGTCCCACAGATAATGGGAGGGCCAAAAGTATTATTTTGCCAGAGAATAAATAATCTGAGACCAGTGAGATAAAAGAAATTAGAACAAAGATGTGAAAAATAAAAGTATAAACTTTAATTGCTTCACACTTTTAATGTCTCTGTTTACATTTTGAGTTAGTTGCTGAAGCTACTAGAAATAAACATTTTTACTAAACAAAGACTAACAGGAATTATTGATACCATGGTTTTAGTTAAGTCTAATGTGGTATTAAACAATTTCAAGTTACTTAGTTACATTAGTGTCGAAAATGCAACTTCCAGTATGTAGACCAAAGTAAAACAAATATACGAGAGCGGTTTAATAACCACAAATCTTCAATCAAAACAAACAAAGATCTTCCGGTTGCAGAGCATGTTAACATGCCTGACCACTCTGTTGACGACATAATACTGACAGGTATAGAGACAAATTTTACATCAAACAAAAACAGGGAAATTAAAGAAGCTTACTGGATAGCACTGTTAAATACTGTAACCTGAATGGCATCAATATCGATCCTGGTATTGTTGACCTTCGAGCGTCTCTAAAAAATTCCGAATAACTTTTAATTAAGTTTGTAAAGTTTTATTATTATTCACATTTTTTATTCATGCTTCTATATCTCTACGTTATTATTTCAGGTATCGATTTACATTATTATTTTCTCAAGCTCTCATCTTCCTATGTATTTTATTTTTCACTATCTGTCAAAAGTTTCATACATAATGAAAATTAATATATTTTTTCTCTCTCTACAAACGAATTCTCCATTCCGGTAGACTATCGGCTTAAGTTGGGATTGGCTGGTCATCAGATTCAACTCAACTGGGACTTACGGTTTACATAACATCACACGTCCTACTAAAGGTCATGTTTTGTTCTCCTGGAGAAGAATAGTCAACTATTCAAAAGCGCTCGAGTTTTTGATTTTATTTTAAGTCTATTACACTTTATATGTGATCCTTTGTGCTAACTCTTTTATCAAAATTACGTTAGAGACAATACTCATAATACTTCTGAGTATAGATAATTCCCTTGTTACACTGATCATTACATGCTACTGTAAAACTTCTTATTTTTGGCATGGCCTGATGGTTATGGCACTTTAATTTTAACCTGTGGGCTGTAGGATTAAAACCCATCACCAAACTTGATCACTCTTCCTGCCATGAGGGGCATTAAAATATGATGGTAGATCCCACTGTTCATTGGTTAAGACTAGTCCAAGAGGTGGAAGTAATGGGTGTTGAATAACTGCCTTCCATCTAGTTTATCCCCCGTAAATTAGGAATGGCAGCATAGATAGTTCTCAGGTAGCTTTGTTTAACATTTTAATGTAAGGCATATTCTATTAATTCCTGTTTCGAAAATTGTGCTTAGAGGCCTTGAATACTTAATTCTTTTTCTACAGTTGCAAAATAAAAACACCCCTAAATGTATGTGAAGGTATATGTAGTGTTACGACAGTGGAAGTCACGTGACTCTGGTAACACGTAATGAGTATCTAGAAGGTTCCTGAAGGCTCAAGACGCCCTCTATTTTGTTTATATAAGACTGGCAAATAAAGCGGGGGGAGATATTTGCAGATAGAGAGATTGAAGATATAGACACCGATAATCGAGTCAAGCGGGCACCGTAAGTAAAGTACGTGAATCGTTGTGAATTATAGCGTGAGTGAAGTTAAAATGACTGTGGAAATTAAGTGAATTGCAAAGTTGAATTGAGAAAGAATAAACTAGTTTTATTTAAGAAAGGATTTGTATCGCAGAAGTTTCTCCAGAAAGAATTTCTACGGAAAATTAACAAACGAACACAGACATAACAAATTGGTGTCAGAGAGTAGGACGAAAAAAAAAAAGAAGAAGAAGAAGATGGAAACCAGAGGTGGCAACTCAAACTACAGCTTAGCAGATTTGATGGCGGCACTACAAGAACAGCAAAAGAAATAAGAAGAATGAGAAAGGAAACAAGAAGAGAGATTACAACAGTTGTTGGAGGAAAAAGAAAAGAAACATGAAGAGAGATTACAGCAGTGGCCAGAAAACCTG